AATATTAAACAGATTTATATTATAGTATTATTATTTATATACATATGTTAAAAATATTTGTGTTTTTGTTTGAAGAATAATCTTTAACACTTGGCCTGTAGGTCAAAATTACGATGTGTTGTTACTGTCATGCGAGATTTCGTGTGTAGTCCATTTAGGATAATTAATCAACAGAAGAAATAATAATATCAGTCTAGCTTATACTTTGTTTTGGACGATATATTTATCAAAAATTACCAATTAAAAATTATTATTAAAGACTACAAATATAAATTGGAAATTATATTACGAATAGAGTACTAGCAATTTTAAGAATAATGCTTATTTAACGAGTGTATTTTTTTCATTTCCTACAAACATTTCAATAACTAAAAATATAGTCGGTTCAACGAGTTAGGGGAAATTTCGACAGACGACATCCGAATAAACTTATTTTGAACTTTGAATTAAAATGACAGGGATACAACTAATCTTAGACATTTTATGTTCCAATAGATATTTATAAGTGTAATATTTATACTATATACCGTATGATCGAAAAAAATGGCGTCCAGGTGGCTTGGAAATGACGATCGATCCCCATATAATTAAAATTTAAACGGAAACCAGAACTAGTTTTCTAGTTTTCTAATCGTAAAACAAATTTCCTTAACCAATAAAATATATTTTAGCGTTTCAGGGGGTCTTATCATCTGCCTCCGTCCGTCGTCAGAAGCCAAAAAGTATATTTACTTTGATACATATTCCCCCGGTCTCCTGATAACCATAAATCACTTCTTCTTGCCCGTTAATTCTTGAAAGAGTATGGTGACATCATGTCTCAATTGCGAGGATCGTTGTGGTCCATCCCTCTCTATCTTGAGCGGCTAGAGAAGCTTCTTGTATACTGTGACCAATAAAAAAAATTTCATTAGTTTGATTTACCCAGCGCGTCTAAGACCTGCTTCTTCTTGGTCGTTTGCCATTAATCTTCCCTTCGATGATGATTTTTTCCTGCCCATCTGTTCTTTTCGAAATGTGCCCAAAGTATCTATGACTGGTTTATTTTGGTTGAAAGTCTTGTGTTTACTTTCAACTCCCTTAGAATTGGGACGTTGGTCCGATCTTCTCTATGAAATTTGCAGCATTCTTCTGTAAGGGTACATTTCGAAAGACTCTATTTTTCTTCTGTTCGGAGTTTCCAGTGTACAAGTCTCAGATGCAGAAGTAGCAATAGGAAAGATCTATGTATTTCGTAATTTTACTTTGTTGCGCTGGGATATTGTAGATCATTTCCATATTCTAGTCAGTTTTATTGTATTGTTACGATCTATTGTTAGTCTGCGTGTGATTTCTTCGTCACAGCATCCCTTATTTGTTATTAGGGATTCGAGGTAATTGGACTTTTCAATCACTCTGCTAAGTTTGATGTTTCATAACTTTTTCTTTTGTCATCAGATTTTTATGATTATGGTATCAGTGTGAAGGTACATTTATTGGCATTATTTTTTATTATTTTAATGGCTTATATTTTCGGTTAGTTGGGTTTATACCGGGGTAAATCAAAACGTTGTTATTTGCAATACACATTATTATAACACCATGTGGAAAAAATGAGACGGGCATTTTGGATAAAAAACACTTTCCTGTAACATTAGATGAAATGACATTAGAATTATTGACAAAACAATAATTCTATAATAATTTTAATAGCGTGTCCACCTCTCGCAGCAATAAGCTCAGGTCTTCGTCGGCGTCGTATCGAATAAATAATGGTAGTTATTTTTTCTTGATCTATAGTCTATAGCTTGATGAATATCAAACTATAGATCAAGAAAACCGTTTACAAAAGTTAAGGCTAGCATTAACGGAGGAGGAATCTCCGTTAATGCTAGCCATAGTTCTTGTAAAGTTTGTGATGGAATAGGACGACGACCAACAGCTCTTTTAAGTTCATCGCACAAATGTTCAATTGGATTGAGGTCGGGATTACCTGAAGGCCATTCGCATCTTCGTCTGGCATTATCATGCATCATTATAAACTGATTTCCAATGAAAGCAGCAAACGGAACGACAACTTCTTGGGAGGACATTCTCAATATAACGGTGAGCTTTGCGAGCTCCATTTTCAACAAATTCAAGATTGTAAAAATCTGAGTACCTACTTTATTTAAAAATGTGTAGCTCATAAAAAAATAGAGATAATAGGATAATTCAAAAAACGAAATGCTAGGAATACATCTAAGATCACAGGAAAATCTTTTTTATCCAAAATGCCCCTCCCATTTTTTCCACAGGTTGTTTTGAATTTACTGCAAAAAAACAAAGTTTTGATGCACCCCGGTATAAACCCACCTAACCGAAATATATAAGCCATTAAAACAATAAAAAATAATGCCAACAAATTTAGCTACAAATTAACACCATAATCATGAAAATCGGAGTAGAAATTCAAAGTTATGAAACATCAAACTTAGTCAAAATTTTAGGGTATCGGAATTTTGTGCCGGACAGTTTATAAACAAAGTAAAAGTTTTCCTGTAGGATAATATGTACACATTACTATAATATCTACATTATAAATAATAATAAATAAATAAACCCAAGTAGCATTTTCACGACTTGCGACCACATGTTTACTAAACACAACGTTGGATTAGTTACAAAAAATAGTTAGCTCCCTACCTTGGGTATTAAAATAAATTTAAACATTTTTATAACGTTGTACCGACGTTGGACTAGTACTACAGCAAAGTAGAAGCTTCTGCGACGTCGAATAAACGTTGTCTTGTAACCTTTTTTGCTTAAGTGATCTTTAGGTGATTCGGACAACGTAGTTACAACGTTGGACAATATAGAGTTTTCCGACGTCAGTTTCAGGACCTATTCCAACGTTATGCAAACGTCGTCTATTTTACTAATTCCAACGTTGTTTAGATTTCCTTATTCTTACGTTGGTAGGACGTCGAGTCACTACCTTTTTGCAACTGTATTGAACCATAACCTTAAATCTTAAATTTTCACTTCATTGTTCTGTTCAGTCAGACAGTTCAGTGCTGCTTTTATTTTTATAAAAAAAACTTAATTAAAACGGGACATAATAAAGGTACATATAAAACTAAATTTAAATATACATCGACATATATTACCGATAGTTTATCCACTCCCTCGTTTATTTAGATTATAGAGGGCGGCACAAGCTAGACTCTAGGATGACTAAATTAGGGCAATCTTGCGTAGTATACTACCTGTTAAGGCCGAACTGCGACTTTATTAGTCCAGTATGCGACTACTCGAACTACTCCATCTTAATCTCCAAAACAACAATGTGAAAGCCGCCATGTTGTTAAATAAGTAAATGTTTCGTTCCTAAAATAGCAATTCCTACTTTTTGAATACATTAACTTGAAATATTTGACTCTAAAAAACACGCGGAAACAATTTTTTCGACTGCGAATAAATTATTCGCATTTTACTAAAAGAAAATTCAAGAAAATTATTAGAACTTCTTTAATTTTAAGGCCCATTAGTATTTTTCAAAGTAGAAACAATACATTTATCAATAAAGTTGTTTGCGTTTAACTTTTTTGCCTTGGGTAACGAGTTACAGAGTCGGTTAAAGTGTTTCAATAATTATGATCTTCAAACATCCTCCACACTTAAATACTTTTGTTTTGTTTTCTTTCACTGCCATCTGACATATGTCTCTAACTAAATCATAAAAATAATATTTTTACTATAATTATCCCAATTTAGGATAAAACGCGACTTAGACGCCATATTAGTTTTGTATTTCTGTGAATTAGGATTTTAAACAACGTTGCAGTTTGTACTAAATTAGGCTTCTAGCCAACGTCGGTATCCAACGTCGTTTCGACCCAAAAATTATTCTCAAACTAGTGCAGACTAGGGTTGGCACGAGGTTGTGCCGACGTTGCGCCCCAACGTTTGGTCGCGTGACACAACGTTGTCCCGACGTCCAAATGCTGCTTGTGAACATAACAAATACCTTTATTAGCTAGTCATTTTATTATATTTGACTGGATCAAAAAACCTTTATTTTTGTTTTTTCCATAGCAACTGTTAAAATTGCCTTATATCTATCCAAAGATATTTAAACTCAAAAATACAAAAACTACAACCTAACCTAACCGAGTTTAAATATCTTTGTATCTATCAAAAATACCGTATGATCGAATAAAAACGGCGTCAGCGATGGCTATGAAATGAAGATCGCTGTCATTTTACATGCAAAATTATATGTGAAATGTCATCGATCGTCATTTCCAAGCCAACTGGACGCCGTTTTTCTTCGATCATACGGTAGTAGATAAAATAGTACTTTAACCGCAAGGGTAGATTAAATGATACTTTAACAGCGAGGATAGGTTAAAAACTTTATTTCTTCTCGCGCGTTTTTTAATTGCTTCCATTTTTGAAAATATTTGTATTCCTTTTCATAAGTTTATTCGGGATTTAAATGTAAGTAGATTGGACATGGCGTTTGTCGCCTCTGCCTGAATATCTGTTGGTAATAATCTTGGTAACAATCAATCTGCTGGCTCCAATTCAATCAGCAATCGATACGAAAGAGAATTAAACAATATTGACTCAAAACTGACAACTAAAGAGACAGCTTTGTTATTTAGCATTTATTTGTCAAATTACATAGAAACCAACGCCAAACCAGCACAATATTTTTTCTACTCGTAATAAATTCCTTGAAATAATAATTTCTGAATATTTTTAAAACGTAACTCGCTATGGGGAAAAATATTGTTTTATACACGACGATAAAATTGCATTATCGTCTCCCGAAATTAATTCACTCGCGATTTCATCGCTTGTGAATTAATCTTTTCGGTCGACGATAAAATACTATTTTATCGTCTTGTATAAAAAATAACTATTAGAGGCCGTTGAGTCTTTTTTTGTAATTTCTGTATTGTTAAAGTCAAATACAAAAATAATTTATTTTCATCAGTTGAATCATATTAATAAATATTTCTTTTTTTTTCCAGTGGCATCTTATCGAAATGAAAACTCCAACTTCTTTTCCTGAGATCTGACGCTCCACCGCACCCCAACTCCGAGCCGAAAATGATGGAAGTGACGCCCCACCTGAAAACCGTCCTAAAGAACTACCAGTACAGCGCTACCAAGTCGCTCCAGGGCCCCGGCTTATCCCTCAACCCGTCGCCGATCAAGAACGAGGTTCCTCCTAGTCCGGAAGGTACCAACAACGATGAGGACTTCCAACCATCCCCGGTACCTTTTCCGGTGCAGCAGGTGCCCATTCTCGCCGCTCCCGACACCTCGTGCAGCGAGAGGAGCGAGACCATTTTGGAGGGCGAGGCGATTTCTTGCTTCGTCGTCGGGGGCGAGAAGAGGTTGTGTTTGCCGCAGGTGAGTACTCGATTGTAGAGGGCACACGTTTTCACTGTGTATACAATTCTAATTAGGGTTACCAGATAAAAACCCGTCCATCCCGGGCAAGCCTTCCCAAAAATCCGGACGTCATAATATTTTAGCGATATAAGAGCTAAAAATAGTACCGTATGATCGAAAAAAAAACGGCGTCAGCTATGGCTATGAAATGAAGATCGCTGTCATTTTATATGTAAATTTATATGGGAAATGTAATCGATCGTCATTTCCCAGCCAACTGGACGCCGTTTTTGTCGATCATACCGTAACCGTATAATGTTTTTTTTAGGAGTAAAAGTGATACTTTTTGTGGCGACGGTGTACGTTTGACAATGCAGGCGTTTGGGACGTTTCAAACGTCCCAAATAATAAAAAGATTTAAAAGCAATAAGCCTTGTAAGTAATTATATATCGAGAAACTATGGTTACTAGTATGTTAGTTTAATAATATATTTTCGTACTTTTGTGCTTAGGCGTAAAAGTGCTTTACTTTTATGCCTAGGCGTTAAAATGATGTTTTTATGTTGTCAACCACTTCGCAAAAATTTATGCTTTTGTGACGTTTGAAAAAAAAATACATTTATAACTTTCAAAACTTAAAACTTACGAAGTAAAGCAATGAATTTACACTGCTGAATTTATCGATGATTTTTTAAGTAACTAATTTTATTAAAATTAATTATATTAATTTGCATTATTGCAACATTTCTTAATGGAACATTAAAATCCGGACGCTTATGTCCGGATTAATCCGGACATCTGGTAACCCTAATTCCAATATTCGTTAAGTGCTAATTGAGTACCTTAAGCTACCTTCATATAGATAGGCAGAAAGTAGTCTCGACTGACTAGTGAGAAAGAAAATCTAGGAACTAGTGGGGTTGCAGTCGGAAGGGTTTGACAAAGAATTAATACACTTTGTTAATTGTTAATATATAATATATATCTATATGAAGATCTCTATATAATTAGAGATGTCTGTATTTATACAGGGTGTTTCAAAAAACATGTGCCATCTCCCGTGGGGAGATTCTTCACGTAAAATTAAGATTGATTATGTCGATCAAAAGTTGTCTTTTGATTTGTTTTTTTTGAAATGCAATTTTATAAATTTGCCTTAAACCAAGAATAGCAGCCTATAAAAACTTGACAAAGTGTTAAATAAGTAACCATTGATTCCTTATAAAAAAAATGAAAAAAAGTTTCTTTAAACAAGGGTGCGGAAATGTATAGTTTTAAAATTTAGGGGATGTTAAAACTTCAAAAAAATAGGTATTTTGTAAATACCCCCCAAGTAGCATTTTTGGACACATTTTAGGTAATGTTTCTATTAATTGTGTCTGTTTCTTGACACAAAATGGACACGGTATGCCACAAATACGAAACATTTTCGAAACCTATATATTTTATATGGCTCTATTACATGTGTTTCCAATATGGTGGCGGAATCAAAACTTAGAGGAAATGTTTCGAAACATTTTCTGCAATTTGTGTCCAAGATGGTTTCGTTTTCACCAGCCACTGTTTCTAAATGTGAAGAAACAAAATAACAAACTAAAATAGTCTATATCTGTGTGTGGATTTCAAAATGAAAACAACCATCAACAATGGCGACCTCCGCCATCATTTTTTTGTCTTAAAATCTTTGTTTTTAGGTTTTCTCGCACAAAAAATGTCTGGCAATAGCAAATTCATCGTTTAATTTAATAATGTACTTTTTACATTATTAACTACAAAATATTTTTGTTTGAAATATAGATTTTTGTTTTTATTTCTATATATCATGATTCTGAAAATAAAAAAATATATAAATCAATGTAAGTAGAACGCGTTCTTATGAGTTTAAAAGCTCAACAGCCGATAAAAACATATTTTTAGTTAAAAACACTATCACTAGTCAACATGGCGGAATTTTAATTCATTATTTTATAAAATTGACATGGAGTCGGACACAAATCATCTACATTATTTCATATTTATGTCTAAAAAGAGAGAGATTCGTGATGAACTGACAATAAATGGAAACCTTGTTTCCAAAATATTTCGATTTAGCGCTATCTGTTTAGAAATTTCGAACTAGTTACCTCTCAACAACGCCAATCAAAACTTGTGGTCAAAATAATTAAAACATTTTTATAGATTTATTATAACACAATTAAAACATAAAAACATACATTTTCCATTGTGAAAAAAAAAGAGAAAACGCTTTGCTGGTCACGTTTTTCTTCGGTCTCCTGTTGGGTATGGGTAGTGGCTGTTATTACCATTTATTCCTAAAACAAATAATCTCTGTTATGTGTATAATAATAAAATTATAAAATCGCATAAGAAAAATATATCTGTATTTGTACTCACCATAATATCTCCTTCCTTCTGCTTTTTTAATTATAGTACATCATAGTACAAGGAACTTTCCTGGTACTATAAAAACTTAAAGAATGCTTATGTGCAAAAACTGCAGAACAATAAAGTAAGGTTATGCTTTCATGTATATCAAATAAATTATGGAAACTTTTCAAGCACAAAACGGGTACAAAATATGTAAATGTGAGCCACATCTGTTTCTTAAAAGTTTCGAAAAACCATATTTTGGTAAAATCTTTCAAAACAAAAAGCGATTTATGTTACAAGACATATGCATCAAAAATGTGACGAAACTGTTTCTCAGCAGAGATTTTGTTTCGATTTTGTGTCTAAAAATGCTACTTAGGTCTACCATTATTTTTTTAATTTGCTTTTGGTAGCTCTTGATAGCATCAGTAGTATACATTTTAATAAAATTTAATAATAAATTAGATTAAATGAATAATTTATTAATTTTATTTTATTAATTGTAATTTAATTTATTTATTAATTGTAATTAATAAAATTGCGTTTATCATAAAGAAGACCGAAATAGAAAAAATATCAAGATATAACTTTTAATCGGCATTAAACGGCCTATACAAGAGAAAAAAGTCAGTGGCGGTAACCCATGCATATTCACGTCCCTGGTAAATGTGTCGACACTTTTTTAGCATTAAAATATACACTAATAATATTTTTTACTTTCAAAATTTCATTCGAATCACTAAAAGCATTTAGAAAAAATTATAATAAATAAAAAACGAAAACTTTAATTCCCTGTAGCTATGAAACAAATCACAATCGGACCTATGTTAATATAAAAAATAAATCTTTTTTTACGTGAGGAATCTATCCACAGGAGATGGCACATGTTATTTGAAACACCCTGTATTTTCGAAATGTTCATGTAACCCAGTCAAATTAGAAAAAAAGCTAAAGTTTTGAAAATAGTCTTAAACGGTTCCTCTAGACTGGGTTTGCTGTATATGCCCTGATTTTATTACTTATTAATTTTTTATTTTATTTATTTTTTTGCTAATTTTATTTGTTTGTTGCTTTATTAATTTTGTTTTCTAGGTACTGAATTCTGTACTGAGGGAGTTCACACTGCAAGAAATAAATCGAGAATGCGATCAGCTACAGATATACTGTTCGCGATGCACGCCAGAACAACTCAACGTCTTGAAAAGCCACGCTATACTGCCTTCTGGAGCGCCCAGTTGCGGTCTCATCACCAAAACGGATGCGGAACGTCTTTGTAGCGCCCTTCTATTTGGAGCACATAAAGTAAGTTGATAAAAATATTTAGATATTTAGAACTATTGAAAAGAGTATACGTCACGTATACTCTTCATATACGTTTCATATACGTGCTCTTTCTCTCTGTATAAGTTTAATTCCCTCTCTCTCTGTCTCTCTAAACTCTACAATCTACGTGTTTAATTATTCGGTGTTTGACATCATTTTAAAAAGTGGTAGAGCATCTTTCGTATTTTAAATGGAACACTACTTTCATATCTCATAATTTTTCTATTATACTCACCTGTCTCTAACATTTTTTGAGATAATAAAAAAAACATGTGCAAAATGGACAAAAACATAATCTTGAATGGAAACTACGCTACGCATTGGTAAAATCATGAATTGAACATTATAAAAGTTGAAATTTGGATTATAAATTAACGAAAGTCGGTATATTCAATATGTCTAAACCAACTGATTGGATATTACACAGGGAGAGCAAAAAAAGATATTTCCGTTTGTTATAAAATTGCTCAAATCTTTGTTATTTTAAATTCAACCCTATGTATTGTAACGTTTTTAGTTCGTTACATGTCTTTATATATGATATATGATGTCTGGCGTATCATCACCGGATTCCGTATTTATAAATAACATAACGCAACCGTTACTACTTCTAAAAAATAACAGATATAAAATAACGACACGTAGAGATCGGCCGCTCGTGAAACGAAAAACGAAGTCGGCGCTCTGCACCGCCAAGAAATTCTATGCTGCTCGAAGCAGTTCCAAAAAACAATTAGTATGGATGGAAAACATGTTATTTCAACTTGTGTCTAGCCCTAGCAGGCAACTATTAAGCCCGACCAATCACGTTAGAGTTTTTGACAAACACAAATGAATTAACACACTTCAAATAACCACGCTAACCAACCTGATTGGTCAAGCTTAAAAGTTGACTGCTAGGGCTAGACACTTCTGTTATTTCGTCAACCATCGATACAGGCGGCGAGACACGGACAACGGAGTGGGGAATGCGCTACGGCGAACGTAGCTGCTTCGGCCGATGCCGTCACTGGTCGTATTGGGCTTACAACAGCTTAAAAATAATAGGATATAAAAGAAGCAGGTTTTTTGAAACAGTTGCGGGCATAACGCCTGGCGGTCGAGATAACAGGAGTGGGAAAGAAACGCTGCTGCATCGGTCGATTGTCGATGGAGGCTCGCAACGGGTTGGAGAAGCAGTCATTTTAGATACGTTGTTTTTCAACCTGTTACGAGCATAACAGGGCGGCGGTCGAGATAATCGGAGTGGGAAAGGAACGCTGCTGCATCGGTCGATTGTCGATGGAGGTTCGAAGCAGGTTGGAGAATAACGCATCAGTTGTTTTAGACACATTGTTTTTCAACCTGTTACGAGCATAACGGGCGGAGGTCGAGATATGGCGCTGTATGTTTCAGTACTTACTTATTAAGTTTCAATATTTAGGTATTCATTTAATCTGAAAAATTTTCAGAATATTTTAAGATTTTTTAAAAATGTATACAGGGTGTTTTGAAAAACCTGGTCATTGATTAATCACGATCCTGCTTAAAGCCCTTGACGTAAAAAGCTGATTTTTGGAAAACAGATTGACTTTAGGGTGTAGAGGTTCGATAAGAAGGGATTTTTCGAAACTCGAATTCTAAGGGGGTAAAACTACCCTCAAATATTAGAATATTTTTTATTTAAAAACCGGTGAGTTTTTCGGAAAAACTCTTAAAACACGTATATTTTATTAAGTTATACGTTTTTATAAGTCAGGGTGTTTCATAAAATAAGACCATTGAGTAATCACTATTCTGCTTAAAGTGCTTGACGTTTAAAGCTGATTTTTGGCAAAGGGATTGACTGTGGAGTTGAGGTTCGATAAGGAGGTGTTTGTCGAATCTCAAATTCCAATAGGGTGAAAACGCCCTAGCGTAAAATATTACAATATTTGTTATTTAAAAAACGGTTAGTCTTTCGGGAAAACGCCTGGACACGCATAATTTATTTTGTTTTTTTACATATTTTGAAATTTTTTAAAAAATCATACAGGGTGTTCCAAAAAGTTGAGTAATTGATTAACCACGATTCTGCTTAAACTGCTGGACGTTTAAAGCTTATTTTTGGCAAATGTGAGAAAATTTTATCCAGTTTGTATGTTAATAAAAATTCTTGTTTTGCTTTATCATCACCACTAGAAATTATTAATTCGACGCGAACGAAGTCGCGGGTACACGCTAGTTTAAGTGTAAAATTAATTCGAATTCTAGTGTGTAGTTGGTTTACTTATGAAGAATATACTACACATTTTCTTATTGCTATTTTTTGACCGCAAATGGTAAAATCATAACTAAGAGCTTCTCGCCCGTCGAGTGAGATGCACCCTGTACACTGCTACGCAATTCAGGATCTACCCGGATCGAGGGGCAGGGCGTAGGTAGATCGGAATGTATAGGTATAGATGAGTGGCGGAATTTTGGCTTTTTTATATCGCAATTTGTAAGCAGCGCTTATTTGTAAACAACCACCGTTTTTAGAGAGGTATTTTAGATAACAATCGATATTTAGAAATCTTTTGACACCCTGGAAATACTACCACCGAGCACGTCATTGTTGCAACTTGCAACTGCGTTAATACGCCTGGCGGTGACCGCCTCATAGTCTTTTAGATATTTAGCAGTAAAATAAAGAAACCTGTTATTTTTAAGCTGTTTTTTATAAATAACTATAACAACTGTTTCAGCTGTTATCTAAAAATAACAGTTTTGCCCATCTCTACTCAGGCCTGATAATTTACTTGAAACACTTGGCGTAGTTCTAACGTTCTCAAGTCGACAATCCTGGGCGGTTCTGTGGGCATTTATTTTCAAGGTTTCGCTCTCCGCGAGGTAACGTCACTTTTGGTTTGGCGGTCTGTCGCCTGTCACCATACTAACCCGGCTTTTAGAAATGGTAATTTAAATCTTGCTGCTTAATTTGAATCGGCTGCTATTTCGAAGCTACAGATAAAGATGAGATATTATCTTTATTAGATTCGATATTATTATTGAGTATTTTTAGGGTAGAGTTTTGGATTGGCCCACCTTAACTCGTATTTGTATTTTGCTGGCACGTTGGTGTTCTTTTGCTTTTGTCTTCTAGAATATTAAATGGAAGAAAGGACAATTGCCTTTGTTTATTATACAGCCCTCGGAAGTATTTCGAGGTATGTTTATTATGTTTATTACACTACCGTTCTAAATGATAGTTTCGTGTTTTTAGGGTCCAAGGTACGGATAGTGTTCCAAAGTACGGACATTATCCAAGGTACAGATATCCAAGGTACGGACTGTATCCTATGGTTAGATGCCCTATGTACGGGTAGTTTTCCTATGGACAGGTGTCCGATGGAGGGATGCCCCATGTAGGGATAGTTTTGCCTATGTATAGAGTGCCCCAGTATGGATGTAGCGTAAGCCCCATACGAGAATGGCCACGGAACGATGGGTGGCCAACAAATCTCTAGAATGGTGGAGAAACTCACCAGGGCAGAGACAAGCGAAAAGGTTCATTGTAGAACATTCGCCAAAATTCACGGTAGACTTGATAAGCAAGGACAGAACGACAGTCAAAGCTGTAGTAGGTCTACTAACAGGGCATTGTAAGCTAAATAGGCATCTAAAGCTGATGGGATTGACAGACGAAGCTATGTGTAGGTTCTGCCAATCTGAAGAAGAAATGTCAGAACATATTTTATGTCGGTGTGACAGCCTGGCAAATGTGCGGTTTCCGGTAATAGGCAATGATAGGCCATTGCCAAGGAGCTACATGGAGGGTTCAGTCTCCAAGTTGCTAAACTTTGTGAAAAGGATAGGACTGGAGAATGTAATCTAAGGATCAGAAGAGGACCACAATAGATCTGAGAAGGTCGCAGTGGATCAGGCCGAAAGCCACCTCTAAGAATCTAATCTAATCTAAGCCCCATGCTGCTTTGCTCCTGTTTTTAAGCCTAATCAGTAGTTACGGCTATTTTGGTTCATGGTGTCCTCGTTTTGACCCCTTTTATTGTATTGGTCAACAGTGACGCCGAGAGACAGTGCAGAGGTACAAGCCCAACTCATGCTGTACTGTTTGTAGCAGGATTGTCTAAAGAACGAGCAGCTAAGTTTAGATTTAAGTTCTGGTTCTATGATTTGCATTTTCTATATTTTCAGTCTTGAATAATATCGTACAGACTTTACGCTTAGTGGTTAAATTACCTGTGTCAGATTAGTATTTAAAATATGATTTAGATCTTAGTTTCTTTGCGAACATTACGTCTTGTAATAGTATTACTTTCTATATATAAATAACGTCATTTTGACAGATGAATAACCGAACAGATTCTAGAATCTACGGCTTGCAACATCTCTGATTTAACATCGTATAAAATATAACAAATAAAGTAATGCTACTTTTTTTATATTTTTAATAACTCTGTATTGTATTTTCCATAGTCTTTCAGTGAACATATTTAGTACTATTTTTAACATAACTTTCTTCGATATCTATATCACAACCACTATAGTTGCTAGAATTCTACAATGTTATTTACCATCAAAGAACATCATGAATAAATATAGTCATTAGTTTTAAGTAATATACAACTGTGTTTTCTATCTCTGTTCGTGCCTGGCGCCCAATATTTATATTTTTGATTTATTATTGTTAATTAGTTTTTCTCCAGTGAAATACCTTATCCACGACTGCTCTACCGTTGAAAAGCTGCCGTTCGCAGTGGTAGTGTTTTAAAAAACGCTATAGTATATTATTTAAAAAATCAAGAGACTAATAACATTGCTAATAGAATAGCTTTTCAACGATATACCATGTTCCTATACCTAACCCTTCCGGTTTATTAAGTAGAGCTCTTTAAAAATTAATAATTCTTAATTTTGTTACCATGACAATTTTAAAAATTTAGCAAGTACAGTCTAATTGATAGTTATAAAGTTTGAATATTTGTCATGGTATGGTAACGGTGTTCTTTAAACAAAACAACCAAAGTCTATATATTTGAAACAACTGCATATAGAATTATTATCTTTTAAATGACTTTCCTGAAGAAACAAAAAGGTTTAAATATACACATTATATATCGTTGAAAAGCAGTTTTATTTATGTTTCGATTTTTTAAATATTTGAATTTAAAATAGCAATGATTTGATCGATTTTATAACAAAGGGATTTTTTTTGATCTCCCTATTTGATATTTAATCGGCTGATTTAGATAGTTCGAATATGTCGACTTTCCTTAAACTATAAACTAAATTTCAGCTTTCAATATGCCGAATTTATGATTTAACCTCGGATTTAACTGTCTATAGGGAAATTAAAATAACTTTGGTTGCACATCCTAATACGACCACCAGCAAACTCCATAAGACGACGCATGGTGTCATTGATGACGTGCACCGAAAGTTTATGAATTTAACCAACGCTTATTCAAGATCTTGTCTTTCCTTCATCGGGGAAACTATAAGAGATAGCTATAGGTTAGTAAATTAGAAAAATTATGAGATACTAAAGTAGGTAGTTTCCAATAATGTAATAATATATTGGGTGTTCCATTTAAAGTGTCAAATATGCTACCACTTTTAGTATAAACCGGCATTGTAATGTTGAAAATAATTTAGACAGCAGGTCCAGGTGCCTTTATACCTCGCTTTATACAAAAATCCAAATTTAAAAAGAATCCTATCACATTTAAACATCTATTTTTATTAGTCTGTAGTATATCAGTCGTTTTGCAATGTTTATTGTTAATATAATTGACACACTTTATTTTCACGAAATAATTCCACTATGCACATTGTTGTTATAATAGCGATTAAACAGTTTTGAAAAGAATTAAAAACAAGTTCATTTTATTCATTTCGTCAAAAAAATATTTAAAAATCGTTTTTATGGTCAAAAAGGCTTTCATTTTGACATACATTGTACAGGGTGTCCCACTAAGAATAGCTCTCGGCTGTATCTCGGAAAGTATTAGCCGTAGAGCCAACGGAAAAAAATATTTATAACTAAAGGGGCTATGAGAAATTGCTGGAAATTATTTTCAAGTTTGTAAAACGGCCGCTAGAGGGCGCAACTGCTATGGAAAATAAGAAAATAGAATTTTTACAGAATTTTGCCTAGATAACGAGTACTATAAATAATAGCTTCATAATCTTCAGTAAGTTTTGGATTTTTTTTGTTAGAACCATTTTCCCCTATCTGCTAAAATAAAGTGGTGGGGGAAGGTTAGATGTATCTTTATTTATATGTTAATAATTCCGGCCTGGATGATCAGAATCCAACAAACGAGGGCTCGTTTAAAAGAGCGTTTCTCACTCTATATTATACCATAAAAATAATAATAATAAGGTTTTGAACGTAGACGCTAGGGGGCGCTTTCTTACAATTTAACAAACATAGCGCGTTTTTTCAAAAAAATTAAATACAATAGTATACGTAATTTTAGCTGATAGTAAAGAGTAGTAAAAGCTTAAAAAATCAGCGAAAACCGCATCTTGATATCTTCTGTCAAACCGAAGATATTAGCAAAATTATAATAAATAGCAAAAAATAAGCTCTTAATTACCTTATTTTTACAACACGGTATCAGTAGCCCTCTTGATTATGCCCATTTTAACAAAAAAATAAGATAAAAACAGTTAGTTTATCTTAAAATCAACGAAATAGCAGAATACCATAATACCAGATGTATTCATATCTAATAATTAAGATATTAATAACAGTGAACAAGAAACGATGATTCAGTGAAGTCATGGTAGGCTTTGGAAAAAAGTTGCTTTTGACGTAATAGTATTAACGTCAAATTGTTATTAGATCAACATTTTAATAGTCTTTTATCTTTTGACTGGTTTTTCAAAATGCCAACAACTTCAACTACTTCAAATAATAATGGCATTTTGAAAAAGCAATTAAAAGATTAAAAAAACGCTGCTAAGATAAATATTACTCATTAAGCAATACTAAGTACTGTTATATTAATCAATTAAGGCTGCGTTCACTGAAATTTATGAAAAAAAGCCCTTTGCCTTGGGTACAGATACCGCCACGTTTTGAAAATAGCTCAAAACGAAACAAAATTGAACGAGGCAACAGGAAACGCTAAAAAAAATCCCACTATGTCTTTGTGGGGAGTAGTTTTCAGGCGCTTTTTTAAGAATCGAAAGTAGGTCAAGACAACTGGAAATAAACCGAAATGCGACAAAATTGGGTGACGAAATGCGACCTTAACCTGCTTTGAAGTGTTCTTCGCATAGTGTAGAGGCTGTTTAAGATATTTCTAACGTATATTTGGAGCATTTTCCAAACCTAATCTTACTAGACTGTTTTTGTTTCTAGAACAATCAGCCTCTAAGGCCCAGGAAAGGTGCCACGTCGTTTCCAGTATATCACGAGTGTTTTGGCGAGGCCAGGGGGCGATGCTATCCAGAACTGTTCACTGGAAAACATACGAAATGTATTGAGTGTTCAGATTGTCAAGGCGGTTTCAATCCTCAGCAGTTCGTCTGTCACGTGCATAGGTAAGGGATTCTATTTTTTGTTTATTATAAGTAATATTTAAACATATATCGTCGGCTTTGTGACGAAAAGGCGTATTTCGATTTTTGCAACTTTTGAGGAGTGCATTTTAAAAATTCTAAATATTTATTAATTTTAGTATATTAATTTTGTATTTAAAATTAATAAAAAAAATTGATATAAAATTAATAAGGTATAATATTGAGATACAGCCAATTTTCCATGCTAAAAAATGACCAATTGGGCATGTAATATTATTTTTTATCTAATTGATTTTTGACAGGAATTTGGAAAATCGAACGGTACATTGGGGTTTTGACTCCAGTAGTCATTGGAGATCGTATCTTCATGTGCCAGATGAAGAATCCGATAAAGACAATTGGGAGAAAATTCTGGACGAGATGCTGGAAAGGTATTTGGGCAAAATTCCTTTCCCACCTCCCCCAGTGGTGGAGAGTACAGTAAAAAGAAAACAGGTGAGTGATGTTTTTAAGTTTAGAAGTGAATCTAGAAACAATAGTTTGCTATTAATTCAATTGGATGTTGTATATTTATATTATGATTTTTAATAAGTGTGAGTGGGTTCCTCGTCTATATTTTTATGCTCTAGTTTGGCAACAAATATGATCTGAAGACTGATTATAAATAATAAGGACTAATCTCCGATCGGTCTTTCTTATAGATTAATTTGTGACAATATTTTAGGACAATCTAAATAATTCCTCTTTTTTTTATTGGATATAATATACACATGATCCAAGATATGTTCATATTTTTTAAATTAATAGGTATACAAATATTGGTATACTCTTTGGCTGTACTACTGTGCATGAGTATTCTCTGCAGTTATACATATATTTTCATATAGACGATTGAATTGAAGAAAATTCAAGTTTTTATTCATCATTTTTAAAGCATTGTTTTAAATTTTATAAATTTGATGGGTATTTTGGTTTTGAGAAATGAAAATTATTCAGTGTAGAGGATATGCAATCAATAGTGTATATTGTAGTGTTATGTAAATATTATTGGAACTCTAGACACACAGTAGATTTGCAAGTGATTAACCCCTCTCCTAAACATTCTACATTAGAACAGTTGTATTAGATTTAAAGCGTAGTTTACACGGGAGAGAAAATTGAGATAGAACTTGCTAGAGTAATTTGCGATAGTGTTTACATTTAAGCAAATTTTAAAGCAATCTCTTGGCATATGCTTTGAGCAAGAAATTGCATGCACGTATACACGCTATGGTGTATATTGCACAAGTATATTGTTAAGTAGAAAAATGTCGCGCCGTAAAAAGAGAATATAATATATAGAATTATAAGCGCCGTAATTAATTAAATAAATTAAGAAATGAAAACCCAAAGCATTTAAACAATTTTCTGCGAATGTCAGAAGTCGATTTTAACTTTTTACTACAACTAATTTCGAATAAAATATTAAAATTGGATATGCCACAATTCCGGAAATCCTTCAAATATATTAATCAAAGTGATGGTATCTTCTTTCGACCACATACGTTTCTCCATTTTAATATCGTTATTTAACACGCCTTCGAGAATCACTTGCACCAAAAACTTTCAACAAAACGGAAATAGATTTTAACTTGCCAGAGCACTCTCCTAACCTGTTTACACTTGCAAGCGTCTTGCGCCGCAACCACTTCCCCGCCAGTTTTGTGACTTGCTGGGAGAGTGCTTTCGGTTACTGTTTACATTATGCAAGTTTGGTAGAAGTGCTCTCAGACATATACTTGCGATAATTTACTTGCCCGTGTAAACTACGCTTAAACACCTAGATCGTTCATTGAAGAAATAAGAAGAGGCGCAACCTTATCGGCGATTTTGTGGCACAAAATATGTCCGAGATGTAGCTGGCGTTACCGTCAACCTGTCCGAGATTTAGTTTAGCTCTGCGCCCGCGCGGTTGCGTGCTTATAGTCGTTTACAGCGCAGTGGATAAAGAATACTGTACCGTAGTTCTGCTTTCAGTCGACAGAGTGGGTGTTGTTGGACAGGAGACAGTGTTACCAGAACTACGGGTTAATCCGTAGATTTACGGATTTTGAGTACAGTACGTTAATCATACAGATTTTTTCTCATTAAACAATTTAATATAATATTATATGATTAAACAAAGAACGGTGTCAGAGTTGGCTTGAAAAATGAAGTTGGCTTTTTTTATTTCATATGTAAAATATTATAGTAAATGTCAATAATCGTCATTTCCAAGCCCACTAAACGACTTTTTTCGATCATACGAGATATTCAGTACTTATAAAAGAATTTTTATTTTTGTTGTTTATTCTCTAACACGAATAAATTTTCAATACATAAACGCGGATATTTCACCAAAAGATATTTTCGTCAAACGTATTACACATTTTAATACGGTAACACTGTCGCTTTCAGTTCCACACCGTCTTCGATATTCCTTCGCTGGCCGAATTAGAGAAAATGAGTGTTTTATGCGTTGGCCGCAGAACGAGTAGTGGCTCTACCGTACAGCATTTGAGACGTAAGGGGAAATCAAATCAGCCTTGTCACGAATTTTCCCATTAGGTGGCGTATCTTCCCAATCCTTTCAATCAACGCCTATAACATAGCCCATTCATACCTAACCTGTCTTTCACTTGTCTTAAGGCTCGCGACTGATCAATGTGCCTTAGCCCATTTCATTTCCATTGAAGCATCACATGAAATCACATTTAGTCGTTTAGTCACAAACGTTTTTGACTAAAACTGTTTTTCTGTGTATCTCCAAGCTAAGTAACATATTAATTAATATTACATTCTTTGTTATATCAATTAAATTGAATGCTATTCAATATTCACGTATAAAAATAAATAATAAGTTGACGAATATTCAAAACAGTGATAACAATGTTTATATTTAATAACATATGATATTATTACCATTGATTTTAAAACACTATTGCTGTGGTGTTAACATTAGAACTAAATACGCTGATAAGGCCGTGTTCTAGTTGTGCGTTAAAGATGATTAGAAATTAGCGATAACCCCTGTGTTTTTTTTCGATGTTCATTGAAACGAACAGAATAAATCCGCTGGAGATTTTTAAACTAAATTCTGTAAAGGTTATTTGGAAATGTATCGCTGTCATATAAATAGACTCTTATAGTAGCGTATGATCGGAAAATAAGCGGCGCCAAAGATGGCTGTGGAGTGACAATCGATGATAATTTTAAAGACGTCAGTCTTTAGACGTCATTAACTGACTTAACTAAAAATTGACAAAAAAAACTTGTAAAGAATCCACTGAATATCATCAACAATGGGACTGCTTTTCTACTAGATGTTGTTGTTCCGTTTTTCAAACGTCGCAAATAGTTTTTTAAACAATTTCGAACTTTGCAAATAATATAAAAAGATTTAAAAGTAATACCTTGTGAGTAATTTTACCGCGCTGGCAACTCTTACTTTTGGGTCGGTATTTACATGTGTGGAAGTAAATCGCATAGGGATCTTATTAAGTCGGAGTGAGAGAAATGCGACGGTGTGCTGTTGCGGCGTTGCCACATTTCTCCGTTACGCCTTTCTCTATCAAGTAAAGTAAAATCACGATCAACCGCTTATTTTTAAAAGACTTTTTTTCCAAAAGATAACTAGATAAAATCATTAGATATATGTTTCTGAGCATCTGAAATAGAATTATAAGAATATCGTTAGGGTGTCCATTTTTTTATAACGAGAAAATGTTAGTAATCGAGAGCATTTAAAAACTCAACTTTTTAACACATAACACGCGATAATTCAAGACTTTAGATATTGAAACTTTTTTTTATTTTGAAGTTCGGATCTTTTACAAGATATTTAAATAAGAAAAATTTGATAGGCTTGTTTTTTTCCATTCAAAAATTTAAAAAAATCCATCCATTGCCTTTAGTGCATATCAATTTTCAGCAATCATGTAACTTTTTTATTTATAAAGATTTTCACATACTGACTGCGAAGAAAATATAGCGGAATAATTAAGAAAGTTTTTCAAAAAAAAACTACAATCAATTCTAATGGATTTCGAGATATCGATTTTTGAATTCAGAGTTCTAATAGCGCGACCACTGTCGAACACCAACTCAGTTCCACTTATTTTTACCAAAAGTGCAAGTGTTTCTAATTTGCACTTAAAAATTGACAAGCTAGGTATAGGGAAAATTACGACTCGTTAATAAATAAACAGATAAAGTATCACGAGACGTAATTAAATCGTGAAGCTGAACGCATGATGAACACCCTTTCCTAGAATTTTAAGTACTGATATGGTCCATGATACAATTAACATTGCTTATTGTTTCATGGATATGGTTGACCGGTCGACCGTATTGCTTATTATATCCATGATACAATGAGCAATGTTAATTGTATCATGGATATGGTCGGCCGCGACGAATCTGCTAGGTATATCCCCTTCCACGTCTCTTAGCAATTGTGCACAGTTTCTCGGTTTATTTCATACGTTTGGCAACGTTTTTACTGTTCTCTCTTTGTCCAGTATATTATAAACGCATTGTACTCTTCTTACATACGGAAATGTCGACTAACCTTTGCCAGCCCTTAGTATATCGAGAAACTATAGTTACACTGGTTGAATTTGACACTTTATGTCAGTTTAATAATATATTTTCGTACTTTTGTGCCTGGGCATAAAAATGACTTTTTTGCAGGCTTTTTTGTATTGTCAATCACGTCGCAAAAATTAATACTTTTGTGAAGTTTGAGAAATAGTATATTGTTTTATTATGAGTAAAGTCATACTTTTTGCGGCAAGCCTGTACGTTTGACTGACATTACAGGTGAGGCACAAAAAGTCATTTTACTCCGAATAGAAAATGCTATTTTTTATGCAAATAATTTTTATATAATTTGAAACGTTGCAAATAATATAAAAAGATTTAAAAGTAATATCTTACTTTATATATCGAGAAACTATGGTTACACTGGTTGAATTTGACACTTTATGTCAGTTTAATAATATATCTTCGTACTTTGTGCTTAGGCGTAAAAGTGCTTTACTTTTGTGCATAGGCATTAAAATAACAATTTTATATTGTCAATCATGTCGAAAAAATTACCACTGTTGGGACGTTTGTCCCTGTGTCACTATTGTGTCAGAACTAATCTAAATCCTGTCGGCTAAATTAACTACGTACGGGATACCCCGACAGGACTTAGTGTGGAAACACATTGCAAGCAGTTTTTCCGCTTACCGGTAGTCGGCGCCGATCTGAGTACCTATTCTTGACACCCTTCGCAACTTTGCGTATACGCATCAAATGTATTGTTATATGGCTTTTTCGGAGATCCGAGATGCGAGCGATATTTGAAGATGCGAGTTGTCAAGAATAGGTACCCTGAGACGGCGCTGGTTGCCGGTAAGCAGAAACCTGCCTCCACTATGTTTGTACCCTTAGATTAGTTCTGCAATCAATCCACGAGGATTTATTATTAG